ATAATAAAGACTAGATAATATTATCCGCTTCAGTAGGTATAGTAATTGGTTTCTAACTCGCATCCTCTGTGGGAGTGCGGAGCGAGAGGAACTGTTGGTTTGGTCTGACGTCACGCGGGGAAAAGGGAACTTACCGACGGGGCACCGACATTTTTTTTTACCATCATTTTTATTACCGGTATTTTTACCGACATATTTATTACTGGCATTTTTTACCGACATATTTATGTATTACCGGCATAATTGGTAATTATTTTTCGACCCTGCGTTTTTTACCGACATATCTTTCTTCGTATTTTTTATATAATTTATATCGACATAATTGACCATTTATCGATTTTCCTTTCTCCGCTTTTCGACGCTTTCGCGGCCCTTCCCTCTCGCTGTTCACAACAGTTTGCGAGCGGGCCTTGCTACCCACCCGCTTTTCCCCTTTTCCGGCCAACCATCCGCGCGCTGTCCTCTAGAATATTCTCGAATATTCCAGAAAGTTCGAGACATTCTTTGAGGAGGGCAAGTCTTTTCAAGCAGAGTTTACCCTCCAAAACTGCGCAGCCCCCGATAAAAAAATTTATTTTTAAACATATACTATCGTATGCTTTCAAGCTGTCGCATACCTACGATATATTTACGTAGAAACTTTTTCAAATATTTGGTTAGGAAAAGAAACATTAATATATTTTTAAAAATGGAAGTAAAAGAAACATTAATATGTTTTTAAAAATGTTATTTCACTTATTTATATGAGGAGGACAAATCTTTTCAGATAGTAGTAGAGTTTACCCTCCGAAACTATGCAGCACCAATAAAAAATTTATCTTTAAACATACACTATAGTATGCTTTCGAGCTGTCGCATACCTATGATATACTTACGTAAATACTTTTTCAAAGATTTGGTTGGGAAAAGAAAGTAAACGAGACATTAATATATATATTTTTTTTTTATTTTATTTCACTTATTCATAGCTTCATACATAATATCTTTCAATGCGCAGCAACTCGCAATCAACGAGCGACTCACAGTCATAGTCAATGCTTTCACGTATTGCTTTTGTCGCATAATATATTTCGGTAACGTCCTTCTCTCGAAGGACATTCACAAAATTTCGGAATTTTATACTAACGAAATGCGTATTTTCAGACAGCCATACATACATATGATCGATGCAATGTTCCTAAGTAAATAATGTGTTCATAGTAGCAGGTTTCAGATATAAAGACTTATTAAATAAAGTAAGTTTTACAATTTTGGAATCACGCATCTTACAAAATTCCATTACCAAATCTTGAATCGACAGCGGAGAGAACGATGGTTTGTCAGCTTGCAGAAGTCGTTGGATGTCGAGACGTTTTTCCACCAGCTTCCCTTATAGAAATATCATACTAAGAATCATTGATAATTACTTATTATCCAGTATTTTTAATACTGAAAATAAGTAATTATCAATGATTCTTGGTATGATATTTCTATAAGGGTTTCTCAAAGTTTCAGTAGGTAATGTTAATTGATTACCGCAATTGTCACTGAGGATTATTTCCCCTGTAGACATAGGTCCTACGCTGATCCCAATCTCCAAATATTTGTACGACGTTGCAGTCAGAGCATATTTACGTCCCAAGATACGAGCAAAGGATGACGTGGTTGCGAAGTGCTATAAAAAATATAACAAAAGTTAAATGTTTGAAAAATAATTTAAACTGGGAAAAGTGCATAAAAATGTCCATTTGCATTGATACTTACTTTTCATATCTTTTCTTGCACGGTGGGATGTCACCATCATTATGTTGAACGAGCAAGTAGTAATTTGCATGTTTAGCATTCACTTCAGCACCGTATATTTTGATTTTTCTTTTTTTATTGTATTTAGTATATAACTATCACCGAACCTCGACTGTACAGAGCAACTGACGAAACCATAGTCTAAATCTTACTAATATAGACAAGTCCCCACCAACATTATTTATTCCCTCTCTTATTCGTCTTGTCTTCAGAATTATTAACACATGTATTGGTACATTTTCCGAAACTAGAAAATAAATCTATGACACAGCGTCGTAACCAATCAATTCAGCAATCATATGTCAATGAAGCAATGTCAGCCATGGTGCATTACAGCGCAAGAGAAAATGATGTGTATTGTAAAATATATAATATATATTTATACTTTTATTACAACTTTTAAAACGTTATACTTTAATAACGCTATGTATTTTATTTTTAATATAGCTTAAATATTTTTTTTTATCAAGCGCCGTCTAGTTTGGTTGCAGATAGCTGTCTAACACTGCCATACTAAGGATTTATCAACTTTGGAAAAAAGGGAATATACTTTTAGATAGGAAGAAGAACATATAAATATGAAGAGTGTTTCAGCAATGTATGTTTAGTCGAAGCAGCGATCGAAGACGAGCAAGTTTTCATGGAAGTGGAAGAAGATCATATTCTAATTGACGACGACAACTATTATAGTGATTGTAGTGATCAGTTTTCAAGTAAAAAAATAAAAATTCTAAAAAATTCTGAAATTAATAGTTTAAGTGGGTAAACGAGACAAAAAAATAGGAGACTCATTAAGAAGAATATCCATAGTACAGTTTGTACGCTACAGATCATTCAGTTTGCGAGGAATAAACGAACGCGGGGTGAAAGAAAATGTTAAAGTTCGCTTGTGCTACAGTCTTAAAGATTGGCCCTATGACTTAGTGCAGGGCACACCAATCAGATAGCGGAAGACTTACACCGGGTTATGATTGAGAATGTAAGTGAGGAAAACACTAAATTGATTGAGTCTATAATGCCTCCAGACATGACAGAGTGGGTGAACAATCGTAAAATTCCAATTTGCTATATAAAAGTTCCGGCAGGTGGTGGGAAGTTCACACATATAGTGCTGTTTCATGACATACATTTCTATCGTGAATTATGACATACTCGTATCCCAATTTTGGAGATAGAACGACACGATAAACACAAACTTTGTGGGTCTTACCAAGACAGTTTGACGTGGCCAAAATTAGATACGGTTGATCGGTGTGAGCAATATCAGTATGATATGTTTGATGTGGCGACTTTTTTCAACTTTAGTCGATTGCAAGAGTAGTACGAGCGACGCATTGTCGAGTTCATTTTGATCTCGATCGTTGGAGGAATTCCAGGAACTCGATAGCGGGTGGGCGCTATCGCGAATACGATCAACATGAACAAATACGTTGCACTCGTGTGTCACTTTGAGTTACCGCGTGAAATACAGCTGAAGCGAGCTGTGATTAATGTTAAATCTAACGACAATGCATGTTTCGCGTGGGCGATAGTCACCGCTCTACACCCAGGGGAAAGGTACACAGATCGCACATCATTGTATACTCACTACGCGAGCGTACTCAATCTTCAAGACATTGAGTTTCCCATGAAGATTAATCAAATAACAAGATTTGAACGATTAAACAATATATCCATCAATGTGTACAGTATCATGGGAAAAAAGAACGTCTACTATTGTTCCAATACGTCTCACCGATGGAAAGAGGGAAAAGCACGTCAACTTGCTACACATTTCGGACCCCTCGAGACCACAACGCGGAACATTTCGCATTTGGATCAAGAACTTATCCCGGCTCATGAGCTCGCAGTTGAGCAAGTATAAAGTCAGAAAATACATTTGCGATCGGTAAGTACATTTCATGAATTCATTGTATCAGAAGTATGCAATAAGATGATAGTAAGTGAAAATTGTAATGTTTGTAGGTGTCGGCACTATTTCCATTCCAACGAGAAGCTGGAGAGTCACATCACAGACTGCCAAAAATTGAACGACTGCGCCATCATTCTGCCGACTGAGGACAACAAGTGGCTAAGCTTCCGCAATTACAGCAGGAAGGAGCGAATCCCATTTGTAGTGTACTCTGATCTGAAGTGTACACTAGAGAAGACCGCAAAGAACGGGGAAGATCACAAATCGCACACGAATCAGCATCACAAGGTATTTAGCATAGCGTATTACTTGCGTTGCTCGTATGACGATTCGTTGTCATATTTTCGAATCCGTCGCGATACTGATTGCATTTCATGGGTCAAACAACTCGAAAAGTTAGCGCACGCGTAAAAGTAATTTTATCCACCAACGTCCCCATGGAAACTTGTCGAAAACACAGTAGGCGGCATTTCGTAACGCGACGCACTGTCACATGTGGGAGAAACCATTCGCGGTGGAGGATACGCGCGTACGCAATCATTGCCATTTCACTGGACGGTACAGAGGTTCCACGCACTCAACTTGTAACTTGAATTATAAAAATGTTTATTGTTAATGCAATAAGATTAAATATTTCATAATTTATCCGGTTACAATTCACTGTTTATAATAAAAGAAATAGCCATCGTCTGGGCGGCTATGAAAGCAAAGACAAAACTCGGCATGGGTTTGAAAACGAAGAGAAAGAAGACGAATAAAAAACGAATACTTCCGGTAGCGAAACGTGGTGGTGTTTTGCCAGTTTTATCGTTATTGAGAGTAGTCGGTTCGCTGGTTGGAGAAGCAGCGGGAGTTGCAAAGATTGTGAATGATAACAAGGCTGCTCAACGTCAACTGGAAGAATTAAAACGTTATCATCGTGCCATGGAAGATCACGTCACGAAAGGTCGAGGAGTCTATCTTGCTCCATACAAACGTGGAAAGGGTGTCTCGAAGAAAAAAAAAAACATCGATGAAACGATAAAAATGTCTATCGGTGCAACTACCAACGTTCAATTGGACTATTTGGCGAAGCGCTTGCGTATCCCATTTTTCCGAGGTATGTTTATGCGTAACGCACTCCCGATGTTACCGCGTATAAACGAAAGCGGTATCATAAATTTAGACGACGCTGAAGGATCTGGTACTCACTGGGTGGCGTGCGCAAAGAGAGGAAAACGCGCGATATATTTCGATAGTTTTGGTCATTTTTGACCGCCCAAAGAATTGATTCGATATCTTGAAAGAGATGTAGTGAAAATTGAGTACAATCGCGCACCCTATCAACGTTACGAAGAAAGTACTTGCGGACAACTGTGTTTACATTTTCTGCAAACTGTCGACGACGGCAAACCTATTTAAATTCCTGATGTTTCGTTGCGAGAGCTCTGTATTCGTTTGACAGTTCCCCGAATATGTTACTGACGTTTACGGGCAATAGTAGCACCCTTACGGCGAGCTACTTTCCTGATAGATTTGAGCGATAATGATTATGAACTTGGCTTGACCACCTTTGAATCTTATCATACGATACCAAATGTAAACGCATCGAACAATAAATTTTACTTTGGTGACGATGAC